TTGCACAGAGCATCGACGGAAGTCTCGTGCCGCAGTGCGGTGGCGCTGCGACATCGACCCCGTCCTCGGCTCCTACTGCATCCCCGACCGCCGCCCCAACGTCGGCTCCCACTTCGTCTCCGGCTCTTACATTGTCTCCGACATCGGCTCCAACATCAGTCAGCAGCCCGACGCCAGTTCCAGAGCCAGAACCTCAGCCCGAGCCATTCGTGGGCCCCGAGTTCCAGATCTTCACCCCGCCATGGGCCATCGTGTTCCTGAACGGCGTGGCGGGGATCATGGACCGCGGCTACAGCCCCTGCGGCGACGGCTTCGGGGTGGGGTTCGCTGTGAACCAGTACACTGGAAGCTTCGGCGCCAACTATGGCAGCGCCGACGCGCTGGAGTGCCACGAGGGGGACCTGCTCTACGCCGCCAGCGGTGCCTCGGCAGCGGACGCCGTGCAAGAGCTCGATCTGCTGCTCACTGGCGGCCGCCTCACGCCCCACAACAAGCAGGTGGTGGAGGCCGCGTACGCAGGCTCCGGGGTCAAGGGGGCGCAGCAGGCGATCGTGCTGACGCCCGAGTTCCAGACCCTCGGAGCCCCGCAGCCGAACGGCACACGAGAGGCACAGCCCGAGGAGGTGGCCCACACGCCGGAGTCGTACCGGGCGCTGGTGATGCTGTTCATGCACGGCGGCGCAGACACATACAATTTGATCGTGCCGATCGGGTGCTCCCTGTACAACGAGTACGCGGGCACACGCGGGAACATGGGGATCAGCCAGGCGAGCCTCCTGCCCATCACGACGGCCGGACAGGCGTGCGCCACGTTCGGCGTGCACCCCTCCATGCCCTTCCTGCAGCAGCTCTACGAGTCGCGCAAGCAGGCCGCGTTCGTCAGCAACATCGGTGCCCTGGTGGAGCCGACCACCAAAGAGGCGTGGCAGAGCGGCAAGGCGGACCGGTGCCTGGGCATCTTCTCCCACAACCACCAGCAGAACGCCGCGCAGACGCTCAAGTGCCAGGAGGCGGGCGCGGTGCCGAGAGGCGTCGGCGGCCGCGTGGCAGATGTGCTGGCGTCCGCGCATCACAAGACGGTCGCCTCCTTCTCCGTCTCGGGAATATCCACGTGGTCCGTGGGCTTCAACACCAGCACCGAGATCATCCATCCCGAGAAAGGCTCCATACGCTTCGACAAGTTCCAGGAGTGGAGCGGCGCCATCGACTCTATCACCCAGCAGAAGTACTGCAATGTCTACTGCGAGGAGTACGCGACGTCGTTCGCCGACCACATCAGGAGCAGCGAGGAGTTGGGGACCCTTTTTGACCAGGTGGAGCTGGATACGGAAGACACTTACCAGAAGGAGACGGGGTATGATAATCTATGCTGCGAGGCCTCCCAAGTCCCTGCGCACACCCCGATGAGCCCCAGCCCTCGATGTGCGGAACAATCGGTTTCGCCATGGATGCTTTTTGATCAGCAGGGTGCTTGTTGTTGAAGTCTTTCGTTGGGTAGTCTGGCTTGGATCTGTACGTTTTCCCCTGGTGTTGGATGTGCGATGGGGGAACTCATGTCGGCGGCGAGCGAGGGGGGGAAGTGCGAAGGGGCGGACCTTATCAGAAGACTCGGGAGTCCCCCGGCCTTCTGAGAAGTTTTCCAAGCCTTCCCCGAAGACAGGAACACCTTTCAGAAGGCGCGAGGGCTTCTGAGAAGTCCCGCCGCCTTCTGAGAGGGCCTTCTGCTTCTCACTTTCCCCCCGCTTGCTCGCCGCCGACCAAGGCGGCAAGCGAGACGTGCTGCTCTTCCATTTGTGTCTCTGCCCCCCCCCCCCAGGCGAGGGGGGCAGATGGGCAGGTGGGGGGCAGAGGGCCGCCGTGGGGCCCCCCTGCACCCGCGGCGCAGCACCTTTGTCCTCGTGCTGCTTCTTTCGTCACCCGCCGATGCCTGCACCAAACGGACTGCAGCCAAGACGCTGAGATAAGGACCGCTTTGGGTTCGGAGGGGGCTCGGGGATCTGCGTCGTTTCTTAGATTTATCTCGCGGGATTTGCTTGTGGCCTAGGCCCACCCTGGCCAGATCAGCCCCTTTGTTCCTTATTTGGCGTTCCTTATGGTAGTACCTCGACTGTACGCCCATCAGAAACCTGCAGAGAAAGCATCGGCCCTTCATTTCGCTGGAGAAAGCAAGAATCTGGACTGGACCCTGGGTATTGTCTCGGATTTCTCTTAGAACTTTCGTAGATCCGGACCTGGACTACTGTCCAAGAAAACGCTTGCGTGAAGCCCGTTTTTTTAAATGAAAGTGTTCTGGACTCTGGGCAGGGGTGTATTCCTCGAGCCCCGCTGCCCAACATCACTGCCTTGCAATGCCACCACTGCCTGCAGTTGCCGCCAGGCGCGACAAGCCCTGACCAACTCCACTGTCGACGGGCAGAGCCTGCACAGGGCTCGAGCCGCACGATGTTCTGGTGATTTCGTGGACCGTTCTCTTTTTGACTGTGAAGGCCTGACGGCCGGTGCCGCCGACCCTGAAAGACATCGACGACGACCAGGAGGGGGAGGAGGAGGAGAAGGAGAAGGAGGAGGAGGCGGATATAAGGAGGAGGAGGAGGCGGAGATAAGGAGGAGGATGATGATGAGGAGGAGGAGGAGGAAAAGGACTCCCCCCTGGGATCCCCACCCCTGGGGAGGAGGACTGGAGGAGGACCGGAGGAGGACCGGCGTGGGAGAGGCGAGAGGAGGGGGAGGAGGCCGATGAGGACCGCGCGCTGGAGAAGGACCGGCGTGGGAGCGGAGGACCCCAGAGGCGATGCGAATCTGACCTCCCCCCCCTCCCCAGGACCCCTCCCCCGCCGCCGGGGAAGGGACAAAGGAAAGGGGCTTCCCTTTGACGTAATGAGGACGTAGATGGAATTCCCTCAAGCTGCGAACCCGTTCCCCGAACGAGAAAGGGTGCTCTCTCTTTCTCTTTCTCCCCCGACGAGAGGGGAAGATGGGAAGGAGGGGACGAAAGAAGGCTCCCCGTCGACGGGACTGGACAGACCCTCCACACACGCCGACAGGGTCGGCGGATTTCGTTTCGCCGCAAGGGCAGACTGAAGACAGAACGAGGGAAAGCGGCAACAAAACGACAACGAAGAGCACTGTTCAGGTCGAGCCCTGAGCCTGTGGTGATGCCGACTGGTCTCGGCTGGCGCCGAGCTGGCGCCGACTGGCCCCGACGCGCCCCGCGGGGCCCCGCGGGCCTCCAGCGACGGTGACACCATTTGGCTACGCACCGCTGGCGCCCAGGAGCCTCGACTGGCCCCGCCGCCCTCAAATTTCGTCCGACCCTGGTGGTTTTCAGGTCATAGCTCTGGCCTCAGGCGGCCCTTCGGGACGATCCGGGCACCCCTGGGGAACTCTCGGTGAGGCGCAGCTGCGCATCCCGAGGCTGGAAAAAGCTGCCGAGCACCGACGAAAGCGTCCCAAGTGCTGGCGCTGCTAGCGGTCACCACCGAGCACCGACTCGCCCAGGCCCGCAGCTGCGCCCAGCGGTGCTGTCGATTCGGGCGGCTGCCCCTCCTTTGCCAGCCTGCGCACTGCCCAGCAGCGCCGCCCGACGCCGGCAGGGGCCCTCTGGCTGGCCCCGCCGTGGCCCCGACGCGCACGCGATGCGATCTGGCTTGGTCTGGTTTGGCGAATCGAACCGCCAGAGTTGCCGCTTGGATGCACGAGGCCTCCCGCCACGACTCGACCACGATCTCGATCTGGATGCCGAGCGGCTCGACTGTGGCCCTGGCCAGCCCCGAGGTGGCCCCGACGCTCGAAGAACAGACGGTGGCATACACATGGTTGGATGCCTTCTTTCCATGAGGCGCCATGAATGGCACCATCCTTCCTCCTCCTCTTCCTCTTCCTCCTCCTCCTCCTCCTCTTCCTCTTCCTCCTCCTCCTCCTCCTCCTCCTCCTCCTCCTCCTCCTCTTCCTTCACACCGAGCCTCTGTTCCGCGTGCGGTGGTGCATTTTGTGGAATTCCCGCGATGGAGCGCTCGGGGCTCCGCGCGGATTCTTCTCGGATCGGCGCTCGACGCCCCCCTGGCGCGCTCCGCGCGGCAGGGAGGCGGGCCCAGCGCCGATCTGGGACACCAGTGCGGACCTCCGAACAGTTTCTCGGCGTCGCTCGGACTTGTGCACTTTTTTCCGCGAAGTCCATCGAGGAGCATCCTGGGTCATCTTGCGACAACTCCTCGCGCGAAGTCGAACTAGGCACGGGGAATGAGCGTCCGAGCGATGGCCATGGTGAGGTTTTGCCTGCGCCTTCTTTGGGGGCTCCTCGGGGCGCGGCCCGATGTGCGAGCAGCGCAGCCGGCGCTGGCGCCCAGCCCTCCCTGGCAGGACTTCCAGAAGTCACGACGACAGGCCCCCCTGGCAGGCCTCGAGGGCCGCCAGCAAAGCTGCTCCGGATGAGGAGCCTCGGGCCGAGGAGCCAGTCCGCCGGACGAGGCCCGGGCCTCCGGGGGAGCCGCGCCGTGACGAAGAGCACAGCGCCAGATGTCGGGCCCCCTCCCTCGGCTCCATGCCCCTCCCCCCCCCTGAACCGATCTGTCAGGTATCGTGGGCGTCTCTTTCTCTTGATGTTTCCCCCCCCCCCCCCCCCCCCCCCCCCGTTTGTTGTTTGTTCGTTCGTTTGTTTGTTTTGTTTTGGTTTGTTTTGTTTTGTTTGGTTTGTTTGTTTGTTTGTTTGCTTGCTTTTCCTTGCCTGCTTGCTTGCTTGCTTGCTTGTTTGTTTGTTTGTTTGTTTGTTTGTTTGTTTGTTTGTTTGTTTGTTTGTTTGTTTCTGTCTCTCTCTCTCTCTCCATCTCTCGCTTTTCGTTGAAAGCAACAAAGCGTGGGCATCTCGATCAGCACCGAAGGCCGTCGAAGACCGAAGGAGGATGGGTGCGGGTTTCTCATGGTCGAGCACGCGGAGTCTCCAGGCCTCGTGCCTCCGTCCGCCCTCCCTCCCTGCCTCTAAGTTTTTTTAGGTAGGGTCCGACTAGGTGGGGTCGGTGGATCGCGCCGCATCGCCGATGCACCGGCGATGCGTCTCGAGGTGGAGCCCGATGTTCTCCACGCCGACGTCGCCGCTGCACCGCCGACGACGCATAGGTGATGTGGCGCGATCTTCTGGCCCCACCTACAGTCAATCCACATAGTACAGATGGGCAACCTTCCCAAGGCTACCCTTGCATCCTTGCCCCTTCGGCCCATCCTTAGCGACTTTCGCCGGCCAGCCTCGTTCGAAAAACGTCCACTCCAAGGCCCTTGCATCGAACGAGGCTGGCCAGCGGAAGTCGCTAAGGATGGGCCGAAGGGTCAAGCATACAAGGGTAGCCTTGGGAAGGCTACCCATCCTTACTATGCGGGTGAACTCTACTCGGACCCCATCTGGGAGGCCAGGAGGAGGTGGAGGAGGTGGAGGAGGAGGAGGAGGAGGAGGAGGAGGAGGAGGAGGAGGAGCAGGAGGATGGAGGATGGAGGATGGAGGATGGAGGAGGAGGATGGAGGAGGATCGAGGATCGAGGATCGAGGAACGAGGATCGAGGGTCGAGGATCGAGGAGGAGGATCGAGGATCGAGGAGGAGGATCGAGGATCTGGCCCTCCAGGGGGGCGCCTCGCCGCCCCCCCACCTTTCCTGGTCCCCCGCGCTGCCGAGAGTGGGGCGGGGGGCGGGGCAGCGACGAGGACCGAGGTCGACAGCTCGTGAGAGGAAGTCGGCCGTGCCCCTCTGCAGGGGGCAGACTCGAAGAGAGCCAACGGAATAGTCCGGCGACGAGTTCTCGACTGTTTCTGGCTATCTTTGGGCATCTCTTTTGGACTGTTTTGGACTTTTCTTCGATTTTTCTTCGAAGATCCGCCTGTAGGAGGACATGCCCGACCTAATCGTAAGAGGAACCCTTCGCCAGAGTGACTTCTGGTGCGGGCTCACCGGGGTCCCCCCGATCGCTGAGCGCGATGCGATGGTGGCTGCTTGCCTGCTTGGATCTGGCCACCTGGCGCCCCCGCGCACTGAAGGACACTCTTGCCTGGGGTCACTCTGGGGCGTAGCCAGCAAGGGAGAGCGGCCTCTTCCTGCTCTCAAGGGTCGTTGAGGGTCACTGGCGGGCGCGATGGAGCCGTCACCACCCGCGGTTTGCTGCCACACCCTGCTTGCTTCTCGCTCATGTGCCCGGACACGCGCGGGTCCTCGTCTTTTTTGAGGTCGCCACGCGACCCGTCTCTGACGCCATGGGACATACCAGTAGCTAGCCAACATTCGGAACGGGCGCCAGGGACACCATACTTGCGCGGAACTTTAGTAGTTGCTCCCCGTTCAGCCTCCTCTCCCAGGAGGGTTTCCTGGCGCAACAGCTTCGCCAGGTCGCGCGTCTCATCAAAGGCCGGGGTCTACGGAACGCGGAGCGGGACTTCTTTTTCGTGCAGCTGATGGGCTTCGACACGCACGGCAACCAGCTGGATAATCAGGTCGGCCTTGATCCACTCTTCGCCGCAGTCGACGACGCGCTGAAGGACTTTGTGGGAGAGATGGACGCGCAGGGCATCTTCGACAGCGTGGTCCTGGTCTCCCAGTCGGACTTTGGGCGCACCCTGACGTCGAATGGAGCTGGCACGGATCACGGGTGGGGAGGGAATCACTTTGTTCTCGGCGGCGCCGTTCGCGGCGGACAGATCCTGAACGAGTTCCTAGACTCGTACCTGGAGACTTCCGACCACGAGTACCACGTGGGGCGCGGGCGCACCATCCCCCGGTACCCGTGGGAGAGCATGATGGTGCCCATCGCAGAGTGGATGGGGCTCGAGCACTCGCACGATAAGGCGTTCCCGAACTTATCCCCCTCGCTCCGCGACGCACCTGGACCGCCGGGGCGGAGCCGGGGGGCCGCCGAGAGGGCCCCCTCGAGCTCGGCGCGGCCGAGTCGCCGAGAACCTGGCAAGAGGAGGGAGGAGGGAGGAGGAGGAGGAGGAGGAGGAGGAGGAGGAGGAGGAGGAGAAGGAGGAGGAGGAGGAGGAGGAGGAGGAGGAGGAGGAGGAGCAGGAGCAGGAGCAGGAGCAGGAGCAGGAGCAGGAGGAGCAGGAAGAGGTGGAGTACATCCCTTGGCCAGCCCAGTTCTCTTGGCTGGCCCTCCTTGGCGGAGGGCCAGCGGCTCGTGCCCAGCGCCCGCCGATGAAAGTGCCGCGGAAGTTGTCAGCGTGCCGCCGCCGGCGGTAGAGCCCTGCAGAAGGACGGCGGAAGATGGAGGAACCTCTTTCTTATGGCATCTTCGAGCCCAGTCATCAGGGCGCAGCCGATCTTGCCCAGACGGGGAAAGGAGGAGGAGGAGGAGGAGGAGGAGGAGGAGGAGGAGGAGGAGGAGGAGGAGCAGAGGCGAGCTCCGCATGCTCGCGCGGGCGTCACAGCGGACCGCTGATGACGCCGGCGGCGGTGGTGACGGCGGATCCCGCCATCAGGGGAAGACCCCATTCTCGAGGGAGAAGGACGGCGGAAGATGCAGGAACCTGGCCAGCATCCCCAGGAATCGCAGAAACAAACGGCATAAACAGAAACTTTTTGGCGCTCCGCGCGGAGCGTGAAAAGTTTGAACGTTAAGGCGTTTTGTGGCCTTGAGAATTTCGAGGCGGGGGCTCGTTCATGATTAACCACCACCACGGGGCTCGATCTCTGGGGGCCTCCCAAGGAGGTGGGCACAGATATACTTGCCCCCTTCCCCCTGGGGCCCGAATCTCTCTCTCTCTCTCTCTCTATATATATATGTATATGTATATGTATGTATGTATGTATGTATATATATATATATATATATGTATATGTATGTATAAATATTTATGTATATGTATATGTGTATATATATATATATATATATATATATATATATCCACTCAAATAAATCCGTAAGATGCCTTGTGGGTTTGTGTGGGCCCCCGGCTCCCCGAGCCTCCCGGAGCCTCCCAGGGGCCCTGAAACGGCTCTGGAAGACACCTGGAAAGGCCCGAACCGGTGCGGGAGCTCCTGAGAGACCCCCAACACGGCCCAAGAGACCTCCAAGATCCCGTAAGACGGCCCCCAAAGCCGTCTGCACAGAGCCCCGAGAAGCCAAAATCGTCAAATTCCCGTGGGAAAACGTACATTTTGGGCATGTACGACTTTTCAAATCCCGATGCTTCACGACGGCCAAAGACGCTCCATAGACCGCCCCAAAACGGCCCAGCAGGACTCCAAGAGGCTCCCACGACGGCCCCAGAAGGCCTCCAAGGGGCCCCGAGACGGCTCCGGAAGACCCGGAGAGGCCCGACACGGCGCCGGAGCTCCTGAGAGACCCCCACCACGGTCCCAGAGACCTTCAAGATCCTGCACGACGGCCCTCAAAGCCTTCCGCACAGAGCCCCAGGAAGCCAAAATCGTCAAATTCCATTGGGAAAACGTGCATTTTGGGCATGTGCGCGTTTTCGCATCCCAACGATGGCCCAAGACGCTTCATACACCGCCCCAAGACAGCCAAACAGGACTCTAAGAGGCCCCCACGACGGCCCAAGAGGGTATCCCAGGGGCCTTGACACGGCTCCGGAACACACCCGCAGAGGCCCGAAATGGCGCCGGAGTTTTTGACAGACCACAAACACGGCCCTAGAGACCTCCAAGATCCCGTGAGACGGCCCCCAAAGCCTTCCGCACAGAGCCCCGGGAAGCCAAAATCGTCAAATTCCCATGGGAAAGCGTACATTTCGGGCATGTCCGAGATTTCGCACCCCGAGGCTCCAAGACGGCCCAAGACGCTTCATACACCGCCCCAAGGCGGCCCAACAGAACCCGAAGAGGCTCCCACGATGCAACGGCTCCGGGAAACGCCCGCAGAGGCCCGAAACGGCGCCGGAGCTTCTGAGAGACCGCAAACACGGCCCTAGAGACCTCCAAGATCCCGTAAGACGGCCCCCAAACCTTCCGCACAGAGCCCCGGGAAGCCAACACCGTCAAATTTCCGTCGGAAAACGTACATTTTGGCCTTGTACGAGTTTTCGCATCCCGATGCTCCACGACGGCTGAGATTCGCGATCTACACAGGGAATGGCCCCTCGCTCGTGCTCTGCCACCGTGCTGGAACCTGACGCTGGCGCCCGCAAGCAACGCCTCTCAGAAGCGGGCCCACACGGCGTGAAGGACGCCTGCACCCAGCGGCCAGCGCCGCCGACCCGCAACCGCAGACGACGCCAACGACGCAAACGAGACGCCGACGACGACGACGACGACAACGACGAGACGACGACGACGACGCCAGCGACGACCACGGCAACCCAGACGACGACGACAACGACTCCATCCGCCCACGATACGTTTTAAACTACCCAGGAAGCCCCCCCCAAGACGTCCCAAGACGCTTCAAGATGCCGCCCTAGAGCGACCCGAGAGGCCCAAATCTTTGATTTTCATTAGTTTTTTCTATGTCTTTGACATTCTCCCTGTTTCGGCTTTCCGACGCTCCAAGACCGCCCAAGAAGCCATTTCTTTATTGCTTGGGGCATGACGGGCGTCATGGCCCCCGCTCCCCCCCCCCTATGACGTAACGCCCCCCCCCCCCCAGTGCGCTCCGGGCACTGCCGCCGTGCGCATTGGGATCCGCACAGGTGTCCGCGTAAGAATCCGCATAGGTGTCTGGTCCGCAGGCGTCGTCGTCGTCGTCGTCGTCGTCGTCGTTCGTCGTCGTCGCTCGTGTTTCGTCGCTCGTCGCTCATCGTCGTCGTGCGCGCGGACGCGGCTGGAGCCTGTTTTTAAGTCCGGGCCGATGACGGCAATCATCTGGGGGGGGGGGCGGTCGATGACGTCACGTTTCGCGCCGGCGGCGTTTGGGAATGGTTAGGAATGACGGAGGACGGGTGGCACGAACATGTAGGTGGCGATATGCACCACAACGCCTGTGTACATCACAGTGCCCGCGTGCACCACAGCGCCTGTGTACACCACACCGCCGATGTGCACCACAGCAGCCGCGTGCAACACAGCGTCAGTTTGTGCCACCGTGCCTGCGAGCACAGCAGCTCCTGTGTACACCACAGCGCCTCCGTACACCACATCAGCCGTGCGCAACACAGCACCAGTGTACACCACGATGCCTGCGTGCATTGCAGTGCCTGTGTACGCCACGGCGCCTGTGTGCACCACATCAGCCGTGTGCAACGCAGCACCATTGTTGTGTATAGAATTTCAGAAGTAATCCTTGTGACAAAATGGAGCGCGTGTGGATTCCAGAGAAAATTATGGAAAACAAGTCCTCATGGACAAAGGAGCGCCGCTGGAATCTACGAGTCCCCCCGAGTCCACCCGCATCACCCTAACTCCCACTTGCGTCCAGGAGGCTCCAGCTAAACTGGCCGTCCGAGAACCACGTGGACCGATTCAATCGACCATTCTGCGGTGCACGCTGAGATGTGCACGTGCGTTGTAACGCCAAGCCGCACGACAGGGGGTAAGAAAGAGGAAAAGGAGGACGAGGAGGAGGAGGAGGAGGAGGAGGAGGAAGTGGAGGAGGAGGGAGGAGGGGAAAACGTCGCATTCGATTAACACAATTTTCCCGGCGTGACGTTTAGATGTCCGCATCATATCCTGACGCACATGCTCTTTCTACCTGTCCTATGCACGCAGGCACTGTGGTGTACACCAGCGCTGCGTTGCACGCGGATGCTGTGGTGTAGACAGGCATTGTGGCGTGCACAGGCGTTGCGGTGCACGCAAGCCCTGTGGTGTACACAAGCGTTGTGTTGCACATGGCTGCTGCGGTGTATGTACACTGGCGCTGTAGTGCTCCCAAGTATTGTGGTATACACGGGCGGTGCGCTGCACACGGCTGTTGCGGTGTACGCAGGCGCTGTGGTGCACACGCGCGGTGTGGTGCACGCGAGCGTTGTGGTGTACTCAGGCGCAGTGGGCAGATCGCCACTTACATGCTGCTCGCGTCGTCGTCGTCGCTCGTCGCTCGTCGCGTCGTGCGCACAGGCGCGGCTGTGGTGCCGGAGCCACACGGCGGGGGGGGGGCGTCACGTCATACCCCCCCCGCCCTCCCCTCCCCCCCCATGACGCCCGTCATCGCCGAACATAAAGAATCGCCTTCCAAGAGGCTCCCGAGACCGTTCGAAGACGGCCCCAGAGGCTCCCAAGAGAGCCCCAAGACGGCCCAAGAGAGCCCCAAGACTGCCCCCAGACTCGCCCAAGACGGCCCAAGAGAGCCCAAGAAGGCTCCAGGAGCCCTCGGACAGCCGCCCCGGCGGCCCCAGACGGTTTCGAGACGCTCCGAAGACCGCCTCCAGGTGTCTCCAGCGGCCCGCGATGCGTCTTAAGCTGCCGAGGACGTCCCCCAAGACGCCCCAAGAGGCGTGAAGATGCCGCCGACGAGCGGCCAGAGAGGCGAAAACCGTTGATGTTCATGAGTATTTTTAGTGTTTTTGCTTCCTCGCTGTGTTGATTTCCCGACGCTCCAAGACCGCCGCAGAGGCTGCCTAGACCGCTCCAAGACGGCCCAGGAGCCTCCAACAGAGCTCCTAGACGGCCCAAGAGAGCCCCAAGACTGCCCCCAGACCCGCCCAAGACGGCCGAAGAGGGCCCGTAGAAGGCCGCAGGAACCCTCGGACAGCCGTCCCGGCGGCCCCAGACGTTTTCGAGACGCTCCCAAGACCGCCTGCAGGTGTCTCCAGGGGCCCACGATGCGTCTGAAGCTGCCGAATACGTCCCCCAAGACGCCTCAAGAGGCGTGAAGATGCCGCCGACGAGCGGCCAGAGAGGCGAAAATAGTTGATTTTCAGTTTTTTTTTTCTCTATGTTTTTTGCTTCCTCGCTGTTTCGGCTTTCCGACGCTCCTAGACCGGCCCAGAGGCTCCCCAGACCGCTCCAAGACAGCCCAAGAGACCCCCAAGATAGGCCGAAGACGGCCCAAGAGAGCCTTAAGATTGTCCCCAGGCCCACCCAAGACAGCCCAAGGGAGCCCCAAGAAGGCGCCAAGAGCGGCCCAAGAGAGGAAACACGCACCGAACAGTCGAGCTCTCTGCCCCAAGACGCCCCCAGGAAACCCCCAGAGGCCCCGAAGACAGCCCAGAAGGCCACTAAGAGGCCCCCAAGAGGCCCAAAAGAGGCCTCGAGAGGCCCCAAAGCGGCTTCCGGGAGGCTTCAAAACTGCCTACCGAGGTCCCCCAAACATTCTCCGGAAACGCGCTGCCGGAGCACGTTGCCGCCTCTCCTTCCAGCGTTCAGTGCCTAATGAAGACTTCAGTGGACAACCGTGCACCCAAAGCTCCAGCCTTCTACCTCAAGAGGCCGCCAGGAGGCCCCACAAGGCCGCCCAGAGGCCTCCAAGGCGCTCCCAGGAGATGCCCTCAGAAGCGGTCTCCAAAGGTTCTTGGGCCGTCTGCCGGCCACTCTGGGCGTATTCTGGTACGGCGCCTCTCGCACAACATGCTCCGGAAACGCGCTGCCGGAGCACGTTGCCGCCTCTCTTTCCAACGTATGCATGTATGAACGTATGTATGTGTTTGCTTTCTGTGTGTATTCATGCATGCATCCATGTATGCATGTATGTATGTATGTGTGCATGCACATATTCACACACGTATATATACATATCTACATACATACATACATACATACATACATACATCCATCCATCCATCCATCCATCCATCCATCCATCCATCCATCCATCCATCCATCCATACATACATACATACATACATACATACATACATACATACATACATACATACACACAGACATACATACATACATACATACATACATACATACATACATACATACATACATACATACATACATACATATATACATATATATATGATGAAGTGAGAGTCTTCGAGCGGGTATTAATATATAGTGTTGGTCCAGCCATGCTCTTCAACAGCAAGCGTGCTTCCATAGCTTTTCGGGTCAACCGCAACGATGACGGCCTGAGGGGCCAAGTTCGCGGTGGCCATCCAGGGAGGTCACAGATGTCCGACGCGCGCTGATGGTCCCTCCTCCGCCATCGGATCCCGGCAGCGCCGCGAGCGCGTCGCCGCCAGAGCCGAGCCCCATCGTGAGCCTCGGCTGGTGGCTAGCGCCGCGGGCGCTCGGCGCCCTGGGCCTGCTCGCCGCGATGCTGGCGTGGCGCGCCGAGACGGGCCGCGGGAGCCTGGTGCGCCTCGGCCTGTGAGCCGCGCTGATGGCCGTGGCCGCCTTCTGGGTCGCCGTCCAGACGGTGCGCGGCTGGTGGCGCGCGGCCAGCGGGCATCAGGCCGAGGTGGAGGCCCTTCGCGCTCAGCTGGCGAGCCTCTCGCTGGACGGAGGCCAGGCGAGTGGCCCGGAGGCGAGGGCTGGCGCGGGCGCGCCCGAGCTGCCAGCGTGGCCAGCGCCGAGCGCACCCCCGCCAGGTCTGGGGCAGCCAGGAGTGCCGCCAGCTCCCCCCCACAGCGTGGACCCCGCCATGGACGCGTTCCACGCCTTCGCCGCGGGGGGGGGCTGCACTGGGCCGCTGTCGTGGACTGCAGCACCGTCGGGTCCGCCAGCGCAGCCCGAGGCGGGCGCGGGCCCGACCACGACAGCGGTCCTGCCGACGGTGCCTGGCGGAGGCCCAGGCGGACCTGGGCTACAGGCGGCCGCGGCGGCCGCGGCGTGCGCCAAGAAGGTGAAGGAGGCTCTCGTGATGCTGCATGCTGGAGCGAGCACTGACCCATGGTGGGGACGTCGCTTCTGGACTTTCGTCCACCAGCTGGAGCAGGCCGGGGAGCTGAATCCAGGGGTACGGGCCGCCCTCGCCGCTCGAGGCTATGTGGGAGCGGAGACTCGGTCGGCCCCCGACGTGGAGTCGCTGAAGACCGTGCTGGCAGGATTCGAGAACATGGAGTCGTCCAACACGTTCGATGGCACGTTCGGAGCGCCCGCAGCAGCCGCGGGAGGAGCCGAGGTGGACGCCTGGGCCCATTCGCTGCCGCCAGACTTCAAGAGGGCGGGGATGGAGATCTATCGGAATATTCGCGCAGCTGGGAGTACGAGTATCAGACATTGGCTTCAGTCCCAGTTTTCAGGATATCGAGGAGGAGAGCAGTGGCAGTCGCTGTGGAGCACAGCGGCGACATTGGACTTCGAGCTAGGCAAATGCGGGAATGATCAGGAGCTGATGATCTGCCTCAACACGAATGATAATGTGGAGATTGGGCTGCGCCATCTGTCGGCCTACGTGTACGAGTCACGCACGCACGACAAGGCTGGCGCGGCTAGGCTGAGGGCAGTCACCGCCCCAGGGAGCGGGATAGACATCGCACCGGGCTGGCTCATCACGGAGGCAACGACACACAGCAAGATGGAGCACCAACGGGCTGAACGAGTGGCAGCAGAGCTACGACGACGGAGCGGCGGCAAAGGGAAGGACAAGGACAAGGGCCGTGGTCGTGGCGACAAGAGCTCGGGAGGCTGACGCCTACCGGGGCCCCTTCATCATGAGTCGCGGGGTGAAGGGGTGCGAGATGCCCGTGCAGGGCAGCGACAAGTTCAGTTCGAGGAAGTTGATCGAGCCCCCCCAGGCACGCACTGCTCAGTCCTCGCTCGTGGCGGGTCAGGGAGGCCAGAGGGTACCGGGCTGGGGGGGGCCCCCCAGTCACGCACTGCTCAGTCTCATCCGCCGCCGAGCGAGAGGACCAGAGGGTACCGGCCTCGGGGGGAGGAAATATGGATTGCCAAACCAGATAAGCCTAGTGAAGATGCGAAGTTCAGCTACCCTCAGAGTTTCCCTTCGATATCTGAAATGGCCTCTGTTTTCGGTGCCAGCGACGCGGTCCTACCAGTTCCACTTCTTGCACAGCCAGGTCGTGTGTCGGTGCGTTCGGGTCGGAGTAGGCAGAGACTACATCGGAAGCAGATGGTCAGGAAAGTCGCCAATCGAGTGCTCAGTGCTCTCAACTCGACCTACCTGGGCAATATGAAGCAGCAGACCACACCATGGCAGCAGAAGTTTAGCAATGAGATGATGACGAACTCTGCTGTCGGGCGGGTCCAGGCGCGGGCCATCCAGCACGCAAAGGACCAGCTCAATGTTCGCCGGCTGTTCCCAGTGACAGGCGTACAAGCGACGTGTGAGCTACTGAAGTTGGACCAGATAGGCTACAGGAGAGTGCACAAGAGAGACGTCCACACGGAGTTCATTGCCAACAGAGTGGACGAGGTGACGACGCAGAAGGTTGTCCCGCTACTCGAGGCGTTGCCGGCCGATGAGGCAGAGTACTACGAGAAGGAGGAGAACGTCGTCGAGATGGCAGGCAAGTCCATGCAGCACGTGGAGGAACTAGAGAGGCAGTATGGGTTCTTTGGGGGCCAGATGGAGCAGTGGATATCTTACTTACATCGTGATGACCTACCGCCGGGGCTGTGGGTATTTAGACCGAGGAGCGAGGTGATGACGATCAATGGAGTATCAGCGGTCTTGAAGAAGGACGGCTTTAAGTTGAGAAAGCTCATCATGGCAGTGCCCACGAACTACCTCTGGAGTGATGTGCGACGACGTGGTGAACACGGACTGGGCGGAGGAGGAGCGCTCGCTATGATGCGAGCGCCAGGCATGGAGATTCATATGGCGCGGTGTGATGAGAGCAATGCATTCTCTTCGGTTCTCTTGCCTGAGTGGATGTGGAAGTGGATGGCAACTCCCGCCATCCCAGCTGCAGCAGTATGGTCCTTGTTACCCGTGGACATGAGGAGCGGTCTCCAGGAGTGGTCTCTAGTGTGCCCTTGCTACACCAGGCTACCGATGGGGTTGTCTCATGCTGTTCACATCCTGATGTGCATCAACCTGGAGGCAGTGGGGAGGACGCTGGTGAGGTCGGCCGCCCTAGGAGAGCCCAAGGAGAGCCAGTGGATCGATCTTCCGGACGAAGCTGTCGTGGAGGACGTCGAGTGGGTCAAGAAGCAGGCCTTGGGCCGTGCTGAGCGGCGTCAAGAGGCTGGGCTCTCCCCCGAGGCCTTCCTGGTTAAAGTCCGTGAGCTGAAGCAGGAGCGTCACCGAGTGATCATCGTGCTGCACACGTTCGCGGGCGGCCGGAGGAAGCTGGACATCCAGCACTATGTGGAGGAGTTTGCTGTCGAATATGGGGTGGCGATCTTTTTCTTTGGAGTGGATCTTGCCTTTGATCATAGGTGGGATCTGGCGGGCCCCAAGCTGATCGCCATGCTGCTGGAGATGATCGAACAGGGCCTCATTGACATTATCCTTGGCGCCCCCCCCTGTGCCACGTGGAGTAGAGCGCGCTTTCACGGAGGAGGTCCTCGTCCACTCCGATTTCGGTCGGAGCCACTGGGCAGGAGCGACCTGTCGAAGGAGGAGCGCGTGAGAGTCACGGAGGCGAACGTGCTTTTCTTCAACCTGCTCGCCTTGTGCGACGTGGAGGAGCAGTGCGGGGGGGGCTACCTGTTCGAACACCCCGCGGACCCAGAGGAGGAGCCGTGCCCGAGCATCTGGGACCTGGAAGCAGTGAAGGGCATGCTGGGGCGGCACGGCGTGCGTACCACCAGGATCGACCAGTGTATGTACGGGGGACCGACCCAGAAGCCCACTACTCTGGCTTCGAACTTGGGCGGCATTCAAGAGCAGGCGTTGCTGTGTGATGGGAGACACCGTCACGAGAAGGCCTACGGGAAGAACGAGCGCGGCATCTTCAGGTCGCGCCGGCTGCAGGCCTACCCGCCTGGCTTGTGCCGCATGATCGCCCTCAGTGTGGTCAGGGCGGCGCTTCGGATGCTGACCGCAGGCCGGGGACCAGTAGGGTGGCTCAGGACGGGGCGGGAGAAGCCGCGTCACACCCAGTGGAGCTTCGAGAGTGAGAAGGAGGGCCTCTTCGTGCTGAACGAGCTGTACCGCCGGGGCGGCAGCGTGAGGCTGCGCCCAGGCTTCCAGGCGATCTACGTGCACGTGGACGACGGGCTCAACATAGCGGCTTGCCGCAGAGGCGGGTCGGCTGACGTGGTGAGTGAACAGATGATGCAGAAGGTCGCCGACGCCTGGGAGCAGGCCGGCTTCGTCGTCAACGAACGCGAGAGGATCGAGGAGGGCTCGAAGATCGTGGGCTACGAGTTGCAGAACTCTCCGCCTCGCCTGAAGCTGGCTAGTGGCAAAGCCAGCTGTTTGGAGGCGGCACTTACGTGGATCATGGAGACGCCCTGGGTGGACGTGGAGCTGCTCAGGGCTTTGGTGGGTGTGTGGCTGTGGGGGGCGCTCTTGAGGCGCGAACTCATGGCCATCCCCGCCGCAGTGTTCGACCTGCTTGAGAAGAGACAGGGTCAAGTCGTGCGGTGGTGGGCCTCCGCCCGCCGCGAGGTGCGCGTCATGAGAGACATGATCCCGATGATGTCGTGTGTCTTGGATCTACCGGCAGCGCCCGTACTCTTTGCTTCGGATGCGGAGGGCGCCAACCGAGTCGACCACGGCGGGTACGGCATCGTCGTGACGCCCATCACCCAGAGTGAGTCAGAACAAGTCATCGGAGCGGGTACGAGGCCTGGGCATACAGTTTCCAGGCTGGACGGCACGGTCCTCCATTTGAACCGTGCTGATCGAGAGCTGCGTGGCCGCATCCCGGTGTCACGCATCCCGCGTGAGCTGCTGCAGATCCCTCAGGAGATGTGGCACGAGCTGGACGCGGGACGCTGGCGCTCGCCTGACCACATCATCTTGGGAGAAGGCCGAGCCGTGGTCAGACTTTGTCAGGCGCTCTCTCTTCTTCCAGGAGCTCATGACCACGCTATCTGCAACATGGAGGATAATGAGACGTTGTCCTCAGCAGCAGCAAAGGGGCGTTCATCGGCCCCGCATCTCAACTACCTGCTGAGGAAGATTAGTGCACTTTCAGTGGCAACAGGCATCAAACTATACCTACCCTGGGTGGACACCGCACACCAGACAGCTGATGAGTTGTCAAGGAGGAAGTGGAGTGGCTTGGTGCGCTCGGCGGGTCGGACCTCGTCGAGTCGACCCTGACCAGGCCGCGCGGGTGACTGAGAAGACTTTAGAAGTATATCGCAGCGCTGGGCTTCGGTTTTCGACCTGGGCCCTCCAGCGCGGCCTGCGTCCCAGCGGTGCTGACGAATGGGGCGACCTTCTAGTTGAGTTCAAAAATGATCAGATTGAGAACCTCACTCCAGCGAAATTCGTGAATACAGTTGCAGCAGTTGAGTTCTTCTTCCCTCGCATGCGGGGGAGACTGTTGTGGAGCAAGGCTGTCATTGCAGGCTGGGAAAGAAATGTTGGACGCAAACATACGGTGCCTCTCGGGAAGTTGCCTGGTAAGCTCCTCGGGGTTCACATGGCCGCCAGAGGGAACCCGCGTCTGGGCCTTGCTCTCATCGTGCAATCCCATACGGGCTTACGCCCCTCGGAGCTCTTGGGAATACTACCGGAGGACCTCATCTTCCCTCGAGACTTGGGCGAGAACATCAACATCGCCTCGGTCTCTATCGCTCTTGGGGCTCGTACGGGGACAAAGCTCAAGAGGCCCCAGGTGGCGCGCATATTCCAGGAGGACAGGGACATCATGGAGGTGCTTGAGGAGATCACGAGGGCCACCCCAGCTGGGACTCCGCTCTTCCCCTTCAGCCTAGCCCAGTATCGTAAGACTCTCAAGGACACCGAGGGCTCGTTGGGTCTATCTATGGGTTGGGGGCCTCACAGCCCTAGAGCAGGATGGGCGAGTGACTCGAGGGCCGAAGGGCTCTCGTTTGAAGAAGTTCGGGAGAGAGGAAGGTGGATCTCAGATGGGAGTTTGCGTATCTATCTTGACATCGTCGGTGCGAGCCACATCCTCACCCAGCTAAACGCGAAGGACTTTGCGCAGCAGCTGCACTGGCTCAAGAGAGGGTGGCGCCAGTACTTTCCTGCGTTCGTCTGGGGAGCGCACCTTCTTCCAGGATATGGCGCCCAAGGGCTACGTCAAGGACAAGAACACTGGGGGGTGGATCAAGGGCTCGGACTTGACGGAGGAGAACGTGCCACCACTGCCGAGCCCGCCTGGGGCACCGTCCAGTTGGGCGCAGTGCGTCAGTGCTCCGCCGTCGAGGGCCACGTCGCGGACGGCATCGCCGGGGGCAGTTTCGCTCGTCCTCACGCCGCCCAAGGCCAAGAGCCCGGGTACGCTGCCGCCCGCCACTGTGCTCGCAATCCCACCTCCGGAGGCAGCGGGCCAGCCGATGACAGGCAAGCTGCAGTTCTACGCGCAGGCACCATGCAAGCCGCAGCAGACCAGGGCGCAAAAGGGAAGCTACCTCAAGTCGGTTGTTGGCTACAGTAGGGTGCTCCAGATTCTCTGCGGCCCGGGTTTCGTGCCTGCCATCATCCTCATGGTGCTCGTCGTCAGTTTCCCGTCGAGCCTCTTTCCTAACATGTCCAGGGGTGCCGAGGCTGCGGCGTCCCTGGTGGAGGATGTGGCAGGCGCAGGTGGGGCTGTGGCCCTCGCGGCCAGGAGCCTGACTTTGGCCGTGAGTGGGGTTGCGCTATCAGTTGCAAGAAATTCTGCTACGTTTGTGGATGAAGCGTGGTCTGGGATAGATCTGCTGGGCTGCCGCTTGAACGTCACAGGCGGCCGCTTCGTCGTTGACATTGGTGCACGCTCTCGCCCCAGTATGATGAAGGAGCTCGAGCGGGGGCTGTCCGTGGTGCCAGATGACCTGGCAGTGGAGTTGTGGGGTTCCATTAACGCTGTATCTGTCAGGGCGCCAGTGGCGGCGCGGCTCTCCTCCCAGTTCAATTTCACGGAGAGCTTCTTCATATGGGATTGGGAGGTACTGTTAGTGGACGAAGAGGTGCTGGCAGTACGATATTATTTCGCTAGATTGGGATTTGAACTTCAGTGGGCTAATCCGTTGTGGGCACTCACAGGGGCCGATCCCGGAAGAGAGCTGGAGCGCATCACGACGAGAGTCAAGGATGCGATAGAGTCGGCAGTCGACGCCTCCGTGCTGCGGACACCGCTGACCGCGCAGGAGGTACTCCAGTTTCCCACCACTCGCCCTCCCTTTTGGTTCCGTCTCGGCCGGTGGGCCCACACGCAGTTCGATTGGTTATGGTACGCAAGCGGTGTTTGGCTCTGAGGTTCAGTGGGTTCAAAGCCATATGAGTGGTATGATCGGATACCGGAGTTTGGCATTATCTCAGAGCGGACATGTTGTATACGTTATGGAGTTCAGATTTCCCTTGATGAATCGGATGAGGTCAAATACAAAGGAGACCCTCGGCCGAGGGAGTTTAATTGGAAGCATGTTGCGACACGTCTGAACTGTGATCGACAGGTGATATGGCTTTGGTCATTTCGTGGTCTGTTGAAAAAAGGAGTTGATCATCGAGATAATCGTGAGTGACGCTTGCTGTTGTTTCCTATTCTGCACAGGCTTCGCCTTGGCACGCCCTACCTGTACAGGCTTTGCCTACTCGTCCCTAGCTTTTCCCTTCCCTGCCCCTGACCGCCGTGGGGGCGGTGTGGGGGTCGGGTGGGTGGGTCTCCAGAGGCTTTAGGAATTGTTGTCGCTTCGCGAATCCCCACCAGCCCATCCAGAAACGATGCCCAGAGGAATTGCCTCGATCAGAGAAGTGGGCAGCACACAGAGGAAGCCATTATGAGACATCTTGGGATATCTTGAGCCATCTTGGAGGTCATTTTGGGCTCTCCCAGACGCTCTTGGAGTCATCTTAATCCGTGCCCCCCCCCAAGAGGCCTCCATGTGGCTAAAACCTGTGTAGAATCAATGATTAGGCATTCTCGCCGAGGCCTCTTGGAGCATCTTGGGTGCATCTGGGGGGGCTCTTGGGGCCTCTTGGGGGTCTCTTGGGGGCCTCCGGGGGGCCTCTTGGGGGCCTCTTGGGGCCATTTTGGGGCCATCTTGGGACCTCTTGGGGCTTCCTGGGCGCTTCTTGGGGCCATCTTGGAGGAGATCGATCAAACAAGAGGGGGGGTTTAATTAGCGTCCCCCCTCGGAAGCCCCTAAAATCGCCTCTTGGACCCCTCTTGGAACGCTCTTGGAGTGCTCTTGGGCGCTCTTGGGGCCGTCTTGGGGCTCTTTTGGGGCTCTCTTGGGGCCCTCTTGGGCCATCTTGGAACCATCTCCAGGCCTCGGATGGCCATCGGAAGCGAAAAGGCGAGAAAGCAAAAATCATTGATTTTCCTTAGGTTTTGGGACGATTTTGGCCTCTTCGGGGCCTCCTTGGGGAGCTGTTTGGCCACTTGGAGTTATCTTGGGGCCGTCTTTGGGCTTCTTGGAACCATCTTAGGAGCCATCTCGAGCGATCTTGCGCTATCTTGAGCCATCTTGGAGCTCATCTTGGGTTCTCTGAGGCGCTCTTGGAGCCGTCTTGGGCCATCTGGGACGCTCTAACTACCCGCGGCCCCCCCCGTCCAGGTCCAGGGGAGGGGGTAGGGGGAGGGGTAAACCCCTCCCCAAGGGGGAAGAGGGAGGGGTGGAAGAGGATCTGCTCTAGACCACCTACGCCCAGAGGGCTGGTGGGACTCAATGCGTTTTGTACATTATGATGAAGTGAGAGTCTTCGAGCGGGTATTAATGTATAGTGTTGGTCCAGCCATGCTCTTCAACAGCAAGCGTGCTTCCATAGCTTTTCGGGCCCACCCGATCCCGCCCTTTGGAGTTCAGGGGATTTTCCCTTGATGAATCGGATGAGGTCAAATACAAAGGAGACCCTCGGCCGAGGGAGTTTAATTGGAAGCATGTTGCGACACGTCTGAACTGTGATCGACAGGTGATATGGCTTTGGTCATTTCGTGGTCTGTTGAAAAAAGGAGTTGATTATCGAGATAATCGTGAGTGACGCTTGCTGTTGTTTCCTATTCTGCACAGGCTTCGCCTTGGCACGCCCTACCTGTACAGGCTTTGCCTACTCGTCCCTAGCTTTTCCCTTCCCTGCCCCTGACCGCCGTGGGGGCGGTGTGGGGGTCGGGTGGGTGGGTCTCCAGAGGCTTTAGGAACTCAATGCGTTTTGTACATTATATATATATATGTGCGCGTGTATGTATTTTTGTGTATATATATATGGATGCAATCATACATACATGCATACATATAACGTATTTGGTCTGGTTGCGTGCTTGCCACTTCCCGAACTCATGTTCGCACGATCTGCTGGCCTTTCATACGTGCAGCTTTGACCTTGTCCAAGGCTGGGGTTGGCTAGAACCTAAGCGCGCGCGAAGCGTGCGCGAAGGTTCTAGTATATATATATATATATATATATATATAGGGGGGAGGCCCTGGGCCCACAAACAGTTGCCCCGGCCCCCCATGGGAGGACGGGGCGGCCAGGGAAGTCCAAACTAGTGGGCCTCCAGAGGCTCCCCAGACGGCCCAAGCTGGCCCCGAGTCGCCGAAAGACCGCTCCTGGACGCCCAAGATAAGCCCAAGACGGCCCGAGAAACCCCCCCAAGGCACTCCGCGACGCTTCAAGACGCCTTTCCCGAGCGCTTCAAGAAACCAAATCGTCGATTCTACGAGAGATTTTGGCCTTCCAGCCTTTTCGACTGTCCGACGTTCCAGGCCGGCTCCATAGGCCCCCAAGAGCGCCCCAAGACGGCCCAAGAGGGCCCCCAGACGGCCCCAGAGGCGCCCCAGAGAGCCCCAAGACGGCCCCAAGATGCGCCCAAGAGGGGGGCCACAACTCCATCAGGGCCCCGAGAGGCACCCAGGAGACCCAAACAAGGCTTCAAGAGGCCACAAAACAGCCCCGAGGAGGTCCCACAACGGTTTCAAAATGGCTACCGAGAAGCTGCGAAACTGCCTTCAAAACGTCCCCGACAGGCCAACCACGAGATCCAAACCAACGCCCATGAGGCCTCTGATCCACCACCTAGGGCACCCGCCGCCCGCCCGCCGTCCGCGTAGCAAGCACCACTCTGTACTCAACAGCTTCAGTCTCCAAGACAACACCCTGTAGTCAACAGCCCCCGTCTTCAAGGCAACACCCTGTAATCAACAAGCTCCCGCTGCAAGAGAGCACCCTTAAGGAATTCATTCAAATCCCGACCCGCCCGCCCGCCCGCCACCCGCCCGCCCGCCGCCCGCCTGGCCGCTTGCCCGCCTTCTGCGTAGCACGCGCCACCCTGCACTCAACAGCCACCGCCTCCAAGACAACACCTAGCATTCAACAGCCCCCAGTGCTCTTGGGACTGCCCGGGCTCGCTCCCAAACACGCCACGACGCGCCAAGAGGGCCCTAAAGATTGCCAAGACAGCCCCAAGAGGCCCTGGACACGCCGAAGATGGCCTCAGGACGGCCGACGACGCCGCCAAAACGCCCCAAGAGCGCCTCCAGAGGCCCCTCCAAAGGGCCCCGCATTTTTGCGCTCTCGCATGTTCCGCCTCCCCACGGTCCCGGACGGCGTCAGAGGCCCTTTAGATCGCTCCAAGACGGCCGAAGAGGCTCCCAAGGAAAGACCAGAGATGGCCCAGGAGGCTCCCCAGATAATTCAAGAGGGCCTCGAGAGCGCCCCAAGAGTGCCCCAAGAGCGACCCAAGAGGGCCCGAAGAGCGCGACATTTCAAGGTCTCCAGCCTGAGAGGCTCCTAGGACGCCCCCGGAGGCCATCAAGAGGCTCCCAAGAAGCCCCGTGAGGCTCCCAAGAGGCCCCCCGGAAGCCCCAATAAGCCCCCAAGGGGCCCCCAGGGAAGCCCCCTGCGGGCCCCCAAGAGACCTCGGTAAATCGTATTTCCCAGAGCTTTCCGGGAACATGATTCCTTGGGCTTCCGCCCACCGCCCCAACCATGTTTCCAATAGGCTTGCCGACACGGCCAAAAAGGGCCCCTCGGTAAGCCCCCAGAGCCCCCCTTCTTAAGAGAGCCGAACAAATCATGCTCCCAGAAAGCTTCTCGGGAACATGATTCTCGGGTTGCCACCCTCTCCCCAAACCATGTTTATACACGCCTGCCAGGATAGAAAACGAGAGTCCCAAGCAGCGCTGCCTGCCGCCCGCCCGCCCGCCACCCGCCCGCCCGCCGCCCGCCTGGCCGCTCGCCCGCCTTCCGCGTAGCCCGCGCCACCCTGCACTCAACAGCCTCCGCCTCCAAGACAACACCTAGCATTCAACAGCCCCCAGGGCTCCTGGGACTGCCCGGGCCCGCTCCCAAACACGCCACGACACGCCAAGAGGGCCCTAAAGATTGCCAAGGCAGCCCCAAGAGGCCCCGGACACGCCGAAGATGGCCTCAGGACGGCCGACGACGCCGCCAAAACGCCCAAGAGCGCCTCCAGAGGCCCCTCCAAGGGCCCCGCATTTTTGCGCTCTCGCATGTTCCGCCTCCCCACGGTCCCGGACGGCGTCAGAGGCCCTTCAGATCGCTCCAAGACGGCCGAAGAGGCTCCCAAGGAAAGACCAGAGACGGCCCAGGAGGCTCCCCAGATAATTCAAGAGGGCCTCGAGAGCGCCCCAAGAGTGCCCCAAGAGCGACCCAAGAGGGCCCGAAGAGCGCGACATTTCAAGGTCTCCAGCCTGAGAGGCTCCTAGGACGCCCCCGGAGGCCATCAAGAGGCTCCAAGAAGCCCCGTGAGGCTCCCAAGAGGCCCCCCGGAAGCCCCAATAAGCCCCCAAGGGGCCCCCAGGGAAGCCCCCTGCGGGCCCCCAAGAGACCTCGGTAAATCGTATTTCCCAGAGCTTTCCGGGAACATGATTCCTTGGGCTTCCGCCCACCGCCCCAACCATGTTTCCAATAGGCTTGCCGACAAGGCCAAAAAGGGCCCCTCGGTAAGCCCCCAGAGCCCCCCTCTTAAGAGAGCCGAACAAATCATGCTCCCAGAAAGCTTCCCGGGAACATGATTCTCGGGTTGCCGCCCTCTCCCCAAACCATGTTTATAAACGCCTGCCAGGATAGAAAACGAGAGTCCCAAGCAGCGCTACCTGCCGCCACGCTCGGAAACGCGTCAGGCCCCGAAGCCTCCGGAGGCGCCCAACGACACCCCAACAAATCATGTTCCCAGGAAGTCTTACGGCCA